CGGCGCCGCGAGCCACGGGCGCAGGTGCTACTTTCATATGGAAAGCACTGTGCTGGGGAAAATGACACCGTATCGCGGGCGCGGGAGCACAGGATCCTTATCAGCAGCTCGGGCTGCAATAAGCGCGGCGGAGATGGAGATCGGCGCTGCGGAGCGATAACGCCGGGCGGCCAGCGCCGCGCACCGCCGCGCACCGCCGCCAGAGGGCGACGCGGCGCCGTGGAAGCCGCCCGCCGTCCTCCGGCTCTGCACAGCGCGCGGGGAGAGGGCATAATGACTGAGCCTCAATCTCTCAAATTAAGCATAATGATTAAAGCTCGCAGCAAAGAGAAAATCTTCCAGCTCGCCCCTGGCACCAGCCAGATCATATCCTGAATGGCTGCAAAAGCCTGATGAATTTCTTCGGGGAAGACAATGACTGGAGAGATTTCGAGTTGTGGATAAGAAAAATGAAAACTAAAGATTCAGAAATGAATCTCAACAAGGCGTGAACTAAAACCCAAACCCCTGCCAACACAAACAAACCCTCTCCACATCACGAAAAGCGCATTATACACCTCGGGAAGGGGAGTTACTTAAAACGATGCTATCACCCTTTCATAATCACGAAAACCCAGCACATTCCTACTGCCGGCACAAGATGGAATCGAATAACTCCTCCACACACGAAATGATGCACAGATATAAGCCACCTTGGGGGACATTTTTATTTAATAATCTTCTCATCTGGATTAGACCTTTTCAGATCTCGCTGTCGCCCCATTTTCTTTAGCAGCTGAAGTACATAAAGCATGCTGTACCCTGCAGAGCCGACAGCACTCAAAATGCTCAAGAAAGCTTTGCAAAACCTGCTCCGATTAATAGGGAAATATTGAAGAGTGGGCAATTCATCTTTTATTTGGTTCAAACAAATTACCTTATAGAACAGCAGAACACTCTAATTCCAGGGTGCCTGCAGCCCCGGCTCTGTGTGAAAATGAATGTCTCCCCAGAGACTGTGGTATTTGTTACTTAGAGCTTTGGAATTCGGTTATACCTTAATAAAAACATAATCTCTTTATCCAAAAGAACATTATTACTGCTGGTTTAGAAATCAATTATAAGGTAGGAAAATTAAGACTTACTTCTTCTGATTTGCCTTCTCATTGCCCTGAACAGGTTTCTACTTACTCTGCTAGTTAATGTCAAAACCTCCAATTCCTGCTGATATTGGTCACTACAAATTCTTGAAGCGGATACAGATATTCTTTCCTCTTGTCTTCATGGAGAAACTATTTTTTAAAATGTATATGTAATTAAAAACATATAAACCCACAAAATAACCCCAAGTGCCCCCTCTTATTTTGTTTCAGATTAAGGTTTGGCACTGGAAGAACCCTGCCTTTCCCTCATGCCCTAACTCCTTTCAGTTGTCATCTATGGCCCGGTGTGTGTGTGAGCTGGCATCCCAGCCAACTGACATCAGTTCGCCCAGGATGCTCCCAGTCTTTCCCCTGGTGGGCGCCTATGCTGTGTATTCCCAAAAGCCCCAGGGTCTCTTCCTTCAGCCATTTCCCACCTAAACAATCACCTCGGTGTGTGCAGCAGACAGTACCGCTGCTGCCTTCCTGCAGTCAGCTCAGCACCAGTAAAGGGGAGTCTGAGAGCGCACCCCCCCAAGGGCAGCTCCGGGTCAGTGGATGCAACTAATTAGTTTCTCTAGGCCATTTCTAAATGCTTGTTTTTACACTCATCGTTCTTTACAGCAAAAAAGAAAAAGGAAAAAGAAGACAAGACAAAAGCAAGACGGGAAGCAGCAATATCCTGCAGAGAAAGCCCTTCATGCCGACCTGAGGTCAGGCCTCGGCCCAGGCTCTCCCCAGCTGACTCTGGGCAAGTCAGGCCACACGAGGGGCCTGATTTTTTCTTCTGCACCCAGTGTGCTCAGCTGTGCGTCCATAACACCCTACACAGAACTGCAGCCCTGAAGGACAGGAGCTGGGGAGGAAACACGCTAAGGCATTGCCTATTGATAAAACAACATCCACTTTAAGATTTGGGATGGTGCATTTCAACAGAAGAAACCCAGACAACTGCACTGTGAATTTTTTTCTTTTTGTTTTTCACTGATTCCAGACATATCCAGGGCTTAACACGACTGACTGGAGAGAGGGAGCTTGTTTTTAACCCTCCTTCCTGCCTTTAGAAAATTATAAAGATGCTTAAGAACTCCTGTGCACAAGATCCTTTAAAATCCACTGAAGACAGGTACCGGGTCAGCTGCCATCAACTGATCCCCAAGAATCACAGCCAGCTCATGAACGGAGAAGGCAAGATTCTGGCAGACCTTCCACTAGGGGTACAGAGCAGACACACAGATCACAACAAGCAAATGTAATTTAATGTTCCCAACATCTTACATGGCATTTCTGGAGCAAAATGAATGCTGCCAGGTGTCAGCCACTTAAAGCTCTATTTCATCAGAGACCAGTAAACATGCCGATCGGCATCCACAGGAAATCCAGGTCAGCGAGCCTGGCCGAAGCTTCCCTTTGCTTCCTAATTAAATAACCCTCCTCTTTCTGCACCTTCCTCTGAAAAGGCTTCCTTTACCTGCATGAAGACAGTGTTTTGTACGTGTCCTTCAGGTAGTGCCAATTCTGCCTACCCAGGTCACTGCCACCCTGGGAAGCTGTCTGCACAGTGTTTGGCTACGTCTGGGCCTGCACTTGGTCAGTCATCAACACAAACTGATTTAGCAGAAGCTGAGGGATTATAGCCTGGGAAATGAGAGAAAAAGGAAAACATTACACTTTAGGAAAGAGGGTCAAAGGGAACAGCAAACTAAGGAAAACAAGCAATTTGGAATTTAAAGGTGAAAACAACAAAGCAGAAATTTGGGGAGGAACAAGAGGCCTTCCCAAAGTCAAAGGGCTTTGGGGTAGCACCCTGTTTTCTCCTGGGAATGGGTTTTGGCTTTGGAGGAAGTTCAAGTGGTGCCCACAACTTATCTGGAATCACAAAGAACAGTCTAGGTAGCTGTCTGCTTGGCATGGTTAACCACCTTGAGGTTGGGGGCTGTCTACTCTCTACCACAATCACTCAGCAATCGAGGGCCCATGACCAACACCTAGGTCATTACTGTCTTCCAATAGATGGGTGGTGCCCCTAAGATGCCCCCTGCATACATTCATTGCTGTAAGGGCAAAGCTCCACCATAATCTAGAACACGTGTGAGAACTTATTTGGCATCAGAAGCTAATCCATGAGAGAGAGAAACTGAACACACACAGTTCAACCAAAGAAGCTGTCGACTTTTGACCAAAAAAAAAATTATTTGTATTAAACAGACACCAAATAGTAAGATGTCAAAATATTTCTTACATTAACTTTATTAAAATAATATTATAGATTGTTCAGAATATTTTAAACACTACTTTAAATTTTCTCTTTTTAAGTTAGAGAGAAAATGTTAGCAACACAGGTTATGAACCAAGATACATACTTAATATTGATAGAAGAAAATTATTTGGTTTCAATGTCTGTTCTTAAACTTAACTTTCAGAAAATAAAGTTTTGAGTTGCTCTTTCTTTCTTTCTTTTGCTTTTCTTTTTTTTTTTTTTTTTTTTGAGGAACAAGCCTATAATTTAGATTTGTTCTCCTCAAGGGGATGGGTTCATGCCTCTGCTCAGTCTCCAAAGGGTCACTGGTTCCATTTCTGGGGTTGCCAAGATCCTACAGAGTTGTTTGGGAATATTTATCAATTTGCACCAGACCACTCCCCCTTCAAAGAAATGAAAGAAGCCAACCTAAGCCAAGAACATTCTCTGAAGTCAATGATGTCTCTCCAGGTTACAAACTGCTTTTGTACAGTTAGATATCATGTCGTACAGGCCAGTCATTTTAAGAGCTAGAGAAAATTGATTGGACATATTTTAATTCCAAGACTGCTTGTGGTCCTTACACAAAACAAAAGCTACTGTTAAAGTTGGTGAGTGCCAACCATGTGAGGCTGCTTGTACTAGTCTCTGAGCCCTGAAAACCTCCCCCATGTGGCTTCCAGCACCCTCCAATAACATTCACATGTTAAGGGTAGACTGCCCCAGAGGAAGGATGAGGTTTGAAAGCCACAGAGTGGCAAGCACCTCAGTTTTCTGGGGAATAGATACTGCAGGGCCAGTGGACCTCTCAGAGGGCACGAGGTAGTGAACTGAGTGAAGTGGTGTGGCGATGACAGAGAATGCGCCCCGTAAACTGCTTTTAGTTTCCATGTGGACAAACACTGTGCGTGTTTGCTAATGAACCTTTACATTAGGTTAACAATTAAAATGAACAAGAACATTCACCAGTGACATATTGGTCTCTGATCATTGATTAACATTAACTGAGATGGATCTGACCTTCTCCTTCAACCATGACGTGGATTTCTAGCTTGCACTTGAAATGTCATACTGTCTACCAGCTTAATGGATTCTGACAAATCAGCTCAACATATGATCCAGGAAAGTCGATTAATACAGGGATAGATGCTTCGTTCATTCTGAGGCATGCCACCAGAACCTTCAATGCCAAGGTTTTCACTGAAGTACACTGTTTATTTTAACAGAATACGAGATAAATACAGAGGTCATCTGGTATGACAACCTAAGGTTTTTTTCCTATAAGTTAATAAATTCACATATACTCACAATGTGTGTGGCTGGAATTATTATTATCCAAAGTCCTCGGGGTCCTGTTGAGTGTAGCAGTTACCAGGAGCCAAGTTGGGTGCAAGCCAACCACCAAGGCCAGCCCCTAACAGTGCCTGAGTTCAGTGCCCTGCACCAGCACAGCAACAGGCTAATGGCTCCTGAGCACCCCCTTCCTTGCAGAATCCTGATGCTTGAGGAGATGGGCGTCTTCTACACCCTCCCCCATGCTGAACCCACAAATATATGGTGCAGCTGTGGCCAGAGAGGGGCCCTTGGGGAGAGGGCAGTGAGGTGGGTTTCTGGCATAGGATACCTTGCTCTTCTGAAGAGACAAATGGGAGACAGGCAGAACTGTCACCAGCACCTGGCAGAGTGGACAAAGATACCGAGTGGCCAGCCCTGGAGCTTCCTGTCCACGGCACTGCTGTGTCTCAGCATCTGGCGTGGGGGAGCTCTCTCCTCACTGTCCAAGCCTCTCAAGAGTCTGTTTCCTCTTCCTTCTTTTGCAACTGGCAGCTCTGGCTGGGCCCAGAAGAACCTTGAAGTTGAGCTGAAGTCCACAGCTCTGGCTCCTCACTACAAAATGAAGGCACAGGGGCACAGGGGCTTTTCTATCCACCCAAGAGCCAACCTGAAGCAATTGCTTCTTTCCCTTTCCATGTCTGTCTCTAATGGAGAAGCCCAAATACTGTCACATCAAGGTCAGCATGGTCACACCTTTCTACTTTATCCCTATGATCACTACAGTCAGGTCACAAGGAAACAGCAAGAGTTTTCTGGCCCATTTTTTAGGAAAAAACAGCAACCCAGTATACCATCTCATTTCTTACTAAAGATAACTATGACCAACTCTTAAACATTTTATAATCAGGTTTTATGAATTTTGTTTTGCTTTGCTTTACTGGAGCAAGTCTATGGAGTATGAGAGTTGGTAAGTCAGTTTTATCACTAAGCCAAAATTAAAAACTGTGTGAACAGAGAAACAATTTGCACTCAGGTGCTGAAAACCATAAGTCTGAAGAGCCTGCCCACCACGGCCCACGGTGAAGAGAAGGCTAACATCCCTGCTCCTTCCCTGATCACAGACCCCTCCCTGGTTTTCAGGCTCCACTCCAACCCCCAGGCACGGGAGAGCATATTTTAAAGTGGTCGCAGTGAAGTTTAGAAGGAATTAGGGTGGCTCAGGAACCCCAGTGGAAGAGGGTTAGAAAGCTTCTAGAGACTCAGGAAGAAAGACATCCCAGGCCCTCTGACCTGGCTTCAGGCCATGGACTCCAGGAGGACTCAAGCTCTATGTTCCAACCAGCACCACTGCCAGGACACCCTGGACTAAGGAGCCCTGTGCAGTGAGGGGCTGGGTGCGATGATCTTTCCCTAAAGCCTCCATCAACTTTAAATTCTAGGAATTCCATGAGTCCACCCTCCACTATTATTAAAAGATGTAAATGACTGTCAGCAGTGACACAGACATTTATATCATTAATGCCCCCTCTCTCAAGAATCAGTTCTTGTCATCTTTGGAGGAGAGGGAAGGTACTTTCTGGTCCCCGCCCTGTTTCTGTGGAAGAGATTCAGTGTTATCAATCACCTGATTGATTGGATGTCTAGTTATCCCAAACATGACCTTAAGAATGAAATGAAACTTGCCATTTATCTTCTCTGCAGGGATATATTAATAAAAGAAAATGCAACTTTGTGATTTCTGTCACATCCTCAGTGGCTGAGGGATAGGGCAAATACTTACTGTGCTTTGTAATATCCTGGCCACAGAGACCTCATTCCGAGATGATGAAGCTGGCAGGGGGATGTGACTGTCAGAGGCAGAGCTGGGATCTGCAGTGGACCTTCTCTTCGACCTTCTGATGGCCTATGCTGGGGTCATCTGCAGAGTCATACTGCGTGGCTCTCAGTGCAGCTGATGACACCTGAACTCGAGCTGCAGGAAGAGAAGTGTCAAGAAGCCGAATAGCTTATGTGACCTGTGGGGGCTCACTCCAGAGAAGTGGGCACCGTGCACACACACACACCGTTCCCAAGCTGAACACATCAGAGTGACAAGGTTCTGGAGTCTCAAAGTAAGTTCTCAGTAAGATGTAATGGGCCGCTTACAGTAACCACTTCAACTAAGGGCCAGCCCCACACACAGTGTCCAATTTGAACTCAAAAGCCTCGGCCAGGCAAAGCCAGAGTTGGACTCCATCAGCTTTCACAGAAAGAACCCAATGCTACTGCGCAGCAAGCCTGGGAGGCCTATGCCACACAGGGTATGCTCCCATCCTCTGTGAGGCCTGCCCCTGGCACGCCCTGCACACCCGCACTCAGTGAGTTGGTGTGTGAGCAGATGAGTTACGACCTGCTCACCAAGCCCAGGCTTCCCCGCTTTGTCCACAACATGACTAGGAGAGACCTCCTAACAGTAAAGATGATATATTTGACATATTTTTCTATAAAAATAAAACTGCATGCTTCCAGTGTCCAGCCTGCCAACACACACACACACACACACACACACACACACACACACACACACACACAACTTCCTGCATCCTGTTTTCTATGAGTTAAATTTGATGGACCCCAAGATTCATTAAAATACTTAGAGCTTGCAGCTGGCTCTCCTCTGTGCCCAGGGCAAGTCCCCTCTTCTTAGTGTAGCACACTAGGCCCTTCCCAATGGCTAAGGGACATTCCTGTTATGGTCAGTTTACAAATAAAACATGTCATTTATTCCTGTATCTTTGGGGTTACAGATGCCTTGGAGAACCAAGGAAAGCTATAAGTCCTTTCTTACAAAGAAGTTACACATGCCTTACATACAAGATGCCACAAACAATGGTTTCAGAGAACTGAAAGAACCCTCTGGAACTCACTCCTTGACCTCCCTGGCTGGTGGACTCCCAGCCATCCCCCAGAGCTCAGGTCAAAGTACTGGTGTCTCTGTAAGCAACTCTTGCAGACATTTCCTCTGTCCCCAGGAACTACACTCTTTAAGCTGGCTAAGTCTCCTCCTCAGCCAGTCCTCACCATGTTCCACATGGGGCTGCCTGCATAATCCCCTCAGCAGATTCCAAGAGCTTCAGGTGCCCATCATAGGTGCCCAGCCTCCAGCTCAGGTTCCAGTGCTAGGGATCAGGGTGGGTCCCATGATGTGTTTTCCAAACAGACCTCTGCCTGCACCTGTTAGAAGTGACGTGTTACATGTGCTCTTTCCTTTAGAAAACTTGATTTAATACTCTCCATAAATTTAAGGACAAAGTCTAATCACAGGGCTAACTGGACCTTCACATTTCCCTTCCTTGAAAGCTTCACCAATCTTCACCCAGCAATAGCAGTAAGTAGTGTTTTTTCCCAATTCTCCAACTCAAGGAAGAGTATAAATATAGCAGCACCATAGAGAAAGCAGAGTCATGATAATGGATATAGACGGCAGGGTCTGACTCTCAGATCAGATGCCAAAAGGAGCTCTAGTCAGAAAATAAAAACACCCCAAGATGAAGCTGTAGTCTTCCTAGCCACACAGACACAGACACCTCAGAGTGCAGCCAAGGGCTGAGTTAACAAGCTCCAAAAGAAGCATCACCCTTAGCTGCCTGTAACGAGAAAGGGCATCAAACAGGGGAAACACACCAGTGTCCATGCACTGTCCTTTTCTTATAAAACTGCCTCAAATGATGCATATGTCTGTCTGCAGAACAAGGAGGCTCAGTCCTTGCAAGAGTCCCACGTGGAGACACCTCCAACTGTCCTGGCCAGGGAGAGATCGAGCCAATCGGGTTTCTCCACATGTGCATAGTGTATGTAAACTCAGGCACACACATGCATAAATATGCAGGCCGGAGAGGGAAGGAAGTGGCCACATGCAATGCACAACACAGAAACATCTCGTGTTCTCTTTAATGACAACAGACCACCTTTACGTTGAACATCTGGACCATTCGTCTTATGCTCCTGCAAACCAGGGAGGACTTCCTGACTCTCACATCTAGCCTCGGGTCTGCTACAGCCCTCTTCCTGCGGCCAAGCCCCGCTCAGAAGCTGTTTTACATCCTGGCTTATATCAGGGACAAGAGTTTGCCAATAAAGAACACTAGAGAACACATCCTTTGAATTCCTTGGTCAGGCTGGCTGCTGATGGGAGGTCATTAATTTCAGAGAGCTTTGGGAAGGCACTGGCCCCGAGCAGGGTTTGGGCAATGTGGCGCTAGTCACAGCAGGGCCTTCCCCCAGGTTTTCTGTGGGGCTGGTAGAGGGGCTACTGATAGGCAGGAGACACTAGTTTCCACTGATGTCCCTTCCATGAGTGGATCTGGCACTATCTGCATAGGCCTTGTTGAATAAATAGGTTAAACTGAAGGAAGCAAACTTGTAGTATCATGTTTCAGACTGGAAGGGACGTGGAAAAACCTGAGACCTACCTCCTCACAAGCCCAGTCCTTCTCCTCCTCCTCTAACTGGTCATCCACCATTTGTGTGCCTCCCAGTGTCAGATTAAAACGTAACGAGTAGGTAAGAGGCCCAATTCACTCCCTCTGAACCACTGGGAGTGTGGCAGACATGAAGAACATCATGTGACAGCCAGGCTGAGCCTTCCTCTGCATTCCAGTGCAGAGTGTGCCTGACACTGCAGAAGCACCTCAGGGGTAAGTTGTACCCACTTACTGCTCATTTGTACTTCCACTAGGGGGCAGGCACTGGGAAAGAAAGCATGTGGAAGTTGGCAAGAGCTGGCTATTTGTTGGCCACTGAAAATCTTGATGAGGAAGATGCGGCACCTGGGCCTGACATTCAGCAAGTGTTTCATGAATTCTGATGGAGCAGGCTGGTGGGGAGGATGGCCCCATCTTCAGATGACCTGTGTCAGCTGAGGTATAGCGTGCCCACTAGCACATGCCTGCAGGACACTACCAGTGGACAGACACTGGATTACCTCAAGGTGTTGGGTTGGTAGGCACGCTTACACCACAGAAAAGATGGACACTCCCAGAGACAGCATTGCAGGCCTCAGAGGTGGGCAAGAATGCCACTCTTATTTGCACAGAACACCTACATCATCAAAGCGCACTTGGAAGACTTTGCATTTTTCCTGTGTAAACTATCCAAAGAACTTCATTAATCAAAAAGTAAGAGAAATTTTTCTTTATAGGTTATTTAATCACTACTCTCAATGAATATTTTATCTAAATTTAGGAGACATGGTAGCTTCATTATTTATAACCTAGTAGTCATGTTTCAAAATCATTATTGCAATTACTTTTTGCTTCTTTACATAATTAAAGCTCTAATATTCCATCCTGCCCAGAAGGTCACTGTCACTAAACTCAAGACAAGATGGTAACTGCGGGGATTTTAGGGGAGTGCTTGAGGTGCGACTGGATCCTGGTGTTGACCCTGGCCAGGAGGCGCTACCTGCTGGGACTGAGCCAGCCAGAGGCAAGAGCAGTCCTGCTTTAGTGGAAGGGGGCTCAGTGTGCCATTCTCTGGAATATGCAGGCTAGCCCTGGAGGGGTTTGCAAAGATGGAAATGAAGGGGCACAGGCATTGGAAGGCAGCCTGCCACACCTGAAGCCAGAGTGCAGCACAGTGAACAGGCTCAGCCTGCGGTGGAGGCCAGGCTTGCTGACAGCTGACTGCCACACATCTGCTCCACTGTGTCTGCCGGACTCAGCGCTATCCAGAGCATTAGACAAATCACCAATAAACTAATTTTTAACAGAAAATAAGCAAAAATTTAGCCCTATATAGTTTTTATTTTTTCTGAAATATTATTTATACAACAAATAGTGACAGATCATATAAAGTATTTAAGCAGAATGCATTAACCATGGTGTACTTACAACAGTAACAGAAAAGGGAACAACTCGGTTAGTATTTCCTTCTCGATTCTAACTTCGACAAGAGTGAGCTCATTGCAGATAATAAGGTGTGCACCACTTTCTTAATATTCACCCCCAAACTTTTGATACTTCAGGTGCCCTAATTTTGACTTCAGATGGTCTAAATCTGATTATGCCACCAACCAGGGACTATAAGGACACAATACATAGGCACAAGCCCTGAGGCTGGACATAGTGAGACAGGCGGACACAGCACTGTCAGCACTCACCATCCACAGGGGTCACTGACAAGCCTGATGAAGAGGGGAGAGCAGAGCTCTAGGGACCCAGGGCGGGGATGGGTGGGGGTCATAGGAAGTACAGGCTTGTGGTGGGCCCCACCATGTTATCTAAGTAGAGCTCAAAAAATCTGGGGATCTAACAAAGCACACACAAAAAAAAGTAACTATTCAACTCTGAGTACCCTGGGGACGGGCAGAACCTGTCTTACTGCACAGTGATGGCAGATCCCAAAGTAGTAACAAGAGGGAAACAACCCTGGTCTAAAAGGAACCCCTGGAGACAGGAGAAAGTAAGAGAAGTAGAAGAAACACATCCTTCACCTCCTGACTTCACTGTAGGACTTGGTTAAATTTAACAAGATACAAGGGAAAGCTCAAAAAAAAAAACAAAGTTGGGTGGGGGGATATAACTGATATTTGTTTTAAACACAGAGAAAGACTGTACAAAACTGAGGCTTAATGGCGGTCCCTAAGCGGAAACTAATGGCAATGCAAGCGATTCCTATCCACAGAAGACCAAGTGTGTCCCGTGGAATGCAATAAGGTATCACTTTGGATATTGATCTGTTTTGAATCCCTCAAAGTTTACGTCAATATTCCTTGTTCAGACTACAAATGTGTGCTATTTTGAGTTCTCCATTAAACTGGTTGTACTATCTTACTGGTTTCCATCATTAATCAATGAGTTAAAAACATAATCTTTGACATATGTTCAGTTATATCTAGGTGAAGGTCATGATTACATCTTCTTTTAAAATTTATCCTTTAAAAAGGCTTTGATTTTAATATCATAATGTAAAATAATTAGCTTAAAGTGTTCCACAAAGGGGAATATGATACGATCATGGAACTATCTGCCTACAGAAAGATCAGCATTTTGGCCACTGCTGCTCCTCATTCAGATACATTAGGTGGAAAATAACACTCACTGTATTTTCAAAGCAGCAAGCCCATTTAAAAATTGTTCTTGGGTTACAACCATGGTGACATGGCTTATACTTCAAATAAAACAAAGTGAGTTTCTAAACCTAAATTTAAAAATCGATTCAAAAATTATAGTTTCTGAGGTTAAATTCCAACCACCCAGGTAGTCCACTCTGCCAAATGAAAGCGAGTGCCTTCTGAGCACCTGGCAGCTCTCCAGTTGCCAGGTGGGCACAGGGGAGACAAAGATTAACAGGATGTGGTCCCCGTCCTCAAGGTCCCTCTCCACAAAACCTGCATGAAGTGCTCTGAACAAAGGTCGACAGAGGGCTGCCCAGGGAGAAGTGAGTGGGCTCTGGCACAGTGGCCAGGTGAGTCTGGACAAGGAAAAACACCACAGAGCAAACCCAAGCTGTGTTTTAACTTTGCAGAAGGTCCAATCAGGCAGGGAAGACCCTTGTGGGAGAGCAGAGGCCCAGAGGGCAGAAGAGCATAAAGCCTCAGGGAGCTGAGGGTCACCTGGCTGGCTAGTGAAGTGGCTCTCTGTGCTGTTATATACCAGGATCACATGGGGATTTATAAAAAGTATAGATGTGTGGGCTCTTCTCCTTCCTCCAGCTTCTCCAGGATTCAGATGAATGTCCAGAGGTGAAGCCCACCAAGGCCAAATAGAACAGAGCAGGTGACTGCAAGTGAGGCAGAAAGTACGTCTGTGAAGGGGACTGAGGCCAGTAAGGTTCTGGGCTTTCAGCTTACACCAAGAAAAAGCAACCATGGTTTGGAGGCCCAGAAGCAAGGTGAGAGTGAGCAGAAGAGCAGCGAAGAGGGGACAGAGAGTGACTTCCATGGGGAGAAGAAACAGGGAGTGCGGCCTGAGAAAAAGCAGCTGCCACATCTTCAGGAGAGGCGGGCTACCTCCATCACTTCCAGACCAGCTGCCTAGTGCTCAGGAGTAAGAATTCCAGAAGTCGAGAAATCTGAAGTTGATGAAGGCAGAACTGAATTGCCATTCCAGAATAACAGACTCATAAATATAAAACTTTACAAATGATCTGGAAAGTGCACTAAGAAATGAATCAGCAATTATAATTGGCAAAACTATACATACTGAAAATTTCTTGTGGTTTCTTATCCAACAGCATGACAAATAACACCAAAATTTGTAGCGCACACCTTAGAGAGGCAAAAGGCATCCGCATTATTCCTATCTTTTTGTCTTAACAAATTTAAAACTAACAAGCAGGAACCCTGAGAGCAATCATGGCTCCAGTCAGGGCGCTAACAAGCACTTACCACGCCTGCCGCCCACACAGCATCAGGCTAGGGCCTCTGCTGCACTGAGAACACAAGAGCTACAATCCTAGAAGATGCCAACTTCTAGGATTGTCTGGCTCCTAATTGATCTTGATACATAATGTATTTGGTTAGCAATAGGGCAAAAAGAGCCCCTTCACATTCTCTGCATGGAAAATGAGACCCGTTGTCTTGCCCACGCATCACGAGGACGGGCTAGAGGAGCAGGGCAAGCAGGCAGCAAGGTGGAAGCAGAGGCTATTGAGAGAGGGGCAATGACAGCTTCCAGGAGGAACCTGGCACCAAGTGACAAGAGAACAAGTGGGAAGCTGGAATTGGGTTTGGAAGGTACAGCAAAAAGAAGAGGGTTCTGGCAGGAAGTACCCCAGGAAACCTAAGACCCTGCAGGTCTGGCACAAACCAGGGCCACGGAAGCAGTGGGTGGCGAGGCCTACACCCCCAGCAGGCAGGTCCCATCCACTCCTACCCCAGGGTTCTGTGTACTTCCTATCTGCAGCAAGAAGTGGAAAACTGCCAAATATTTCCCTACACAGTTCACACTGGCTACATCTTTTCTCCAGATGTGCATCTACTGAAGGAGTAGACAGAAACTTTAGAGAAATCAATTCTGAATTTTTTGATTTTTAAAGAGTTTTGAAACTCTTAGGTTCCTACCTTCTGAACTTGAAAGTGTTTCCCGTCACCACACAGTTCACAGAATCAAGGGAGGAGCAGGTGTTCAGGTATGTCTTTGCTCAGCATTGATGTCATTTTTCAGATTAGCTATAAATAAAAAGAAAATCAGAATCACTTGAAATACCGAAATATCTAAATTACATGTACCAATGACAAGATAGTTTCCAAAAGCAAATATTTAAAATATTGCCAAAATAGCCAAGAATGATAAACACAGAGCATCTTCTTTTGAATTTTATCAAATTATATGATCAATAGACAGATATTTCTCCACTGTCACTCACATAAGTGCCTGTCTAAAGCTCAAGCCATCATCTTCCAGGTACACACCATGTGCCCAACACATGAGCACACGGTGGAAGTACACAGGCTCATTCTACCTTCCCCAAAACACCATAGCATGGATATTATCCCACTTCTCCAGATGAAAAAACTAACTCTGACAACGGCTAAGTAATGTCACTGAGAACAAACGGTGGTAATCTGGGACATACAGGCATAGCAGGTCATGGCATATAAAATGCTACATGGGCTCTGGGGAATGATGAAACACTAGAGGAAACTAAGAGAGGGACCCTTGCCATGAGAAAAATGCACTGGATAAAGTGCTATTTTTTGTGTGAGGGCACTTCTTAGGCTGCATGGCCATATAAGGTAGTCAGGTCTCAAGCAAAAGCAACAATTTTACTGTTTTGAAGCCAGAGAGCAGAGGTTGAACCTGCCATGGCAGCTAGAAAGTGGGTAGAATTCCTGGGAAGAAAGGAAGGCTAGAGCTAGAGACTTTTCTGCGAGCCCCACTATCTGTGATTAGATCCTAACCCTAGAATGACCTCTGACCTATGCATGCACAGGGGAGATGCTAAGGATCAGAGAAAACATTGGTAACTTGTGGTTTAAAGAGTGAGTACTTAGAACTGCTGACTACTGTAAGGAAACACAAATATGAATGCTGCCCAAAACAAAGTCAACACTCTTCAGAAGAAAATAATAAAATCCAGAGTTTTTACAAAGCTTCATCAATAAGATACAATAAAAAGCAAACACAAATAAGTATATCCCAACCCCACAAACAAACAAACCAAAACAAGCATAAGCATAAGGAGAAAGAGGGTAATGTGATTCATATCCAAGAAAAATGTCATCAGTAGAAGGAAATCCACAAAAAAAAATTCCAGATATTGGAATCTGCAGACTTTAAACTGAATTTAAAGTGACTATTATATATATGCCCAAGGACTAAAAGGAAAAGACAGTCACATCAAATTAAGACCAGGAGTCCCATCAATACAGTTTTGAAACTCTTAGGTCCCTACCTTCTGAACTTGCTGATGGCTTTTTAGAAATAATACCAAAAGTAGTCTAAGAAAGTAAAAAAATAATTGACAAGTTGATTTCCTTAAAATATGAAACTTCTGTTATGTATATGAAAGACATTGCCAAGACAATGAAGAGACAATTCAGAGAGTGAAAGAAAATGTTTGCAAAAGATTCATCTAATACAAGATTGTTTTCACAAATATAAAAAAGAATTCTTTAAAGTTCAACACAGGAAAGCAAACAATCTTATTTTTAAAAAAGACAAATAGGGCTGGGGATGTGGCTCAAGCGGTAGCGCGCTTGCCTGGCATGCATGCGGCCCGGGTTCAATCCTCAGCACCACATACCAACAAAGATGTTGTGTCTGCCGAGAACTAAAAAATAAATATTAAAAATTCTCTCTCTCTCTCTCTTTAAAAAAAAAAAGACAAATAGATCTAAATGGACACCTCATCAAAGAAGATACACAGAGAGCAAAAAAAGCCTATGAAAGTACATACACTATGATATGTCATTATGGATTTACAAATTAAAACCACAATTACTATCACTATAAGTCTATTACAATGCAAAAATTCAAAATAATTAAAACACCAAGTATTACTTAGAAAAATGTTGAGCAATTGGAAAGTTTGTTCATTGCTGGTGAGAATTTAGAATGGTACAGCCACTTTGGAAGAGTTTTAAAGTATTCTATGAAATTTAACATACTCTTGAACTGCAATTCAGCAATTATATATATTGTGTGTAACTGTTCTGTATGATATTATAATGGTAGATATATGACATTATGTATTTGTTAAAACCCATAGAAATATGCTCCCCAAAGAGTGAACTCTAATGTAAACTATGGATGTTAGTTAATAAAATGTGTCAATATTGAAAAAAAAAAGGAATGACGATCACCAAAAATGGTAAAAATGAGAGTATAAAAGCCATATATTTTTCTCTTTTATTAACGTCTTTCAAAGATATAACTTTAAAAATTATGAAACTATTTTCAGATTCACAATGTAATACAGATGAAAATAAAAAGGACAAAGCATGAAACCCAGTGAATGTAAATACAACTGCACTATTGCTGTATTTTTTGAACATCCTTATCAGGGAAATTAAAATGCAATGCTAAAAAGTATTCAATCAACTTAATGGAAAGAAGAACAAAATTAACAAGGGAACAAAAACTGATGAAAAAGTGGAAATCAAAGAGCAAAATGGCAGAAATAAATCCAAATATAGAAATAATCACATTAAAAATAAATGGACTAAATACTCCTTTTAAAAGGCAGAAGCCCAGCGTGTTGGCTCACACCTGTAATCCCAGCTGCTCTGGAGGGTGAGGCAGAAGGATCATAAGTTCAAAGCCAGCCTCAGCCACTTAGTGAGGCCTTAAGGAACTTAGTAAGACCCTGTCTCAAAAGGGGCTGGGGAGATGGCTCAGTGGTCAAATACCCCTGTGTTCAATCCATAGTATTAAAAACTAAAAACTGTCAGACTAGATATAAAAGATCCAACTTTGTGCCAAAAGCAGAAACACTGTAAATATAAATATATATAGGTTGAGAATATAAATAAATGTTATAATAAACAGTAAGTATAAGAACAGTGGAATAGTTATATTAATATCACAAATAGAAAGCAATATATAGATTACTGTAAGAAACATTCCTTAATGATAAAAGGGACAATACATTACAAACATGTTTAATGTTTTTATATTTATAATGGGAAAAAAGTTAGGAGTAAAAATGCTTCCTCTTCATGAAGCTAAAAAATACACGCAAACTAAGTAAAAGTAGAAGAAGAAAAAATAAACAGCAGATATTTTTCACAAAGAAAAAAAGTAACAGTGAAAACCAATAAGGCCCAACTTTAATAAAATTGACAAGCCCATAGCAAGACTGATTAAGAACAAAAAGAGAGAATACAAAGTACCAATTCCATAAATGCAAGAAGATAACACTATTGATCTTACACTCATTAGAAAATATAAGGAAATATTATGAAAACTTAGATGAAATTAATAAATTCTCTAAAACATCCAACTTACCCATTGACATGACTGAAATAACAAAAATGAAGCCCTATATCTGATTTGAATCTGTTATCAAAAACAATTTCATTAAAAAAAATTCTAGAACCAGGCAGATGAATTTGAACAAATATTTAGGGGGAACAATAACTCCAATCTTAAACAACTTTTTAATCAGAAAACTGAAGAGGAGGGACTACTTCCCAACTCATTTTTGAGGCCAGAAAACTCTGATTCCAAAACCTGACAAAGATATAACAAGAAAATTACCTATAATGGCTTTGTTAAATAGAGATGTTAATTCTTCAACAATCTATTAGCAAATAATGGAAAGGGAACAACTAGAATTATCCACAGGTACTAAAATTCATGAGTGAAAGTTTAATGAGGAAGAGTATACTCACACAGCCTTGAGGAAACTCTCCTGTAAAATTGGGCAAATACTGTCTTAACTATGAAGTCAACAAAATTAACATCCCAAGTATTAGCAGGTCTTGTGCCTCCTGCCATGACACACTGAGAACATATCATTTCTATGACATTCAGCCAGTTGGACAGATTGAATCCATTCATTAAGACACATCAGTCAAATCAGGAGACATTCTACAAAAGAACCAGCCTGTACATATCAATGTCACAAAATTCAAAGACTCAGTAACTGTTCCAAATTGGTAGAAACCAGACCAGATCAGTGGAGACAACTTGACACAATGAGAGATCCTCCACAAATGGCACCGGGATGTGAACTGCAAATGACAGACACTGATTAGCACAATATCAATGCTAAAATTCCCCAAATTTGATCACTGTGCTGTATTTGTACAAAAATAATTTCCTTAGTTTTAGACATATACACTGAAGTATTTAGATGTAAAGGGGCACAATGTCTCCAACTTACTCTCGAATACTCAGGAAAAAAAATGTGTGTGCATGTGCACACCCATGTATATGTGCTTAAAGAGAGAAAATGACAAGAACAAATGGAGTAGAACATGAACTACTAAGGAAGGTGGATAAAAGGTACAGGAGTTTGGGTTATTATTCTTGCAACTTTTCTGAAAAATAAAACAAATGAAAAGTTGCCCTAAAAAAGTTTTTAAAAATAAAACAAATGAAAAGTTGACCTAAAAAAAGTTTTTTAAAAAACACTCTCCCAATCTTGCTCCCAAAATAAAAGGGAGTGGCTGGGCACAGTGGCACACACCTGTAATCCCAGTGGCTTGGGAGGCGGAGGCAGGAGGATCGCAAGTTCAAAGCCAGCCTCAGAAGTTTAGTGAGGCACTAAGCAACTCAGTGAGACCCTGTCTCTAAATAAAATACAAAATAGGGCTGGGGATGTGGCTGAGTGGTCAAGTGTCCCTGAGTTCAATCCCTGTAACCCCCCAAAAAATTAAAATAAAAGGGAGTGAAGAGGGAAAGGGAAGGGAGGAAGGAAGGTAGGACCTTCTGTCTCTAAAGTCTGCCAGTCTCAATGTATACTCAGCACTGCTGCTTTATAGTAGGAAAAGGTCCTAAGTAGGTAATCCACCCATCACTCTATTTGGAATTTGCAGACAAGCAGGCAAGAGAAGAAAAAAGAGTAATCAGAGCAGGTAGAAGCAGAAATCAGCTCCATAGCACAAAAAAGGAAAAGGCTTGTATCTTCTAACTTAGGAGGCACATATTTCTGATCTCACTCAGCAAAGTTGTACAGTTACAGCCTCAATAAACAGAGACATCAGGCTTCTGTTTCCAGGGTAACAGGCAACTATAGAGTTCCCAGTACCTCCTTCCACTCCCCTCTGCCACACCCACATGACCTTATTATCACACAGTATAAAACAAAGCAAGAATCATTAAAAGTCAGCACACTGAGTGACAAGAAATGATTTTTCCGGTGGCCCCGGGAACTTCGTATATAAAATGATGATCTGCATTTAGTTTGTTGGAACCAACTATTCTTTATGGCGTATAACCACAGCATACTCTTTAAATAAATGCACAGATAAAAATGAGCCTAAAAACAGGAATGACGACAAAAAATGAGGAAGCCTTAATGTGAAATGCATTGCGAGAGAGAACAGGCTTCTGACAATTAGTTATAATTTCAGAATGCTAATGGCCTCCCTGCAAGCAAGAGGAATTATAATTGGTCTCCGGTGGCCTGTTTATCCTGTCTAGATATAATTACAAGATACAGCTCTTGCCGCCTTGAACCAATCCATTCATCCAACAACTAACATTTATCCAGGACCGACACTGGGCCTTGCACTGTGCTGCGTGTTGATGGTGCAGAGATGCCGGGCCCATGTTTGAGGAGTTCCTTGTCTCCAGGGAGAAACAAACAGAGCTCACAACTCAACTGCCGAGTGACAGAAGACAGATATGTACAAACTCTAAAGTCACTAATGCTGCTTGGGGGGTTGAGAAAGACTACACGAGCAAGAAGCACATAGGAACCCAGGAATCTATCCTCATCCCAGCAGTTTCCTTAGGAGTGAGAAGCCATTCCTCCGAACAGCACTGTTCTCAGTAGGTATGTATTTTTACCTGCGCTGTGGCAGTATTCACATGGTTGCAAAGACAGCCCTAGACACAGAGGGCACTGGCCCAGCCCAATTTAATTCTTTTCTTCTCGATCACCCTGCAAACCATCAGCTCCCCAAACCACTTCTAAACAGAAACATGCTGGTGCCACAGTGCTGAAGGCCACTCACAGACCAGCTGAATCAGAACCTGCAAAGCACACACGTGACTTCCTTGAATAATGAAACCCACACTCTACCCACAGTGCCATTTCCCAGCTGACAAGAGGTGAGCTCTGTCTGCACCCCACAGCTCCTGGGGGCCCAAGGGGCATGTTCTCTCTGAGGTTCTGGGGAGGAACTAGACCAAGACTCATGAAGGCCATACAGGACACTCCACAGTCTGTTCCTATAGGAGCTCCGGGGAGAAGCTCAGAAACCCTCTAGAAACACTGTGGGGACAAAGGCATGTGCCTGGCCTAGTAATGGGTAGGGGGTCCAAGGCCATTTCAGTTCTTGCAGCCACAGCTCAAGATTCAAGCCATGATACCAGCAACTCACTTTGAATGAGAAAGAAAATTTATGTGAACTAATTTGTTCTGCAAGTGATTTGTGGAGAGAGCTTCTGAGAGGCCTGTTATATTTTCCAAATGTTTCAAAGAAGAAAAAAGAAGAAGAAGGATATTGCTGACAACAATGGAGCGTTTGGAAACAAAACAAAATAAATATCATGCAAAAATGTCTTTAGCATTATTTTTCATGGTATTATCAGTCCTTAGGGATAAGATATTTGGATGTCGATCGTAACCTTGGAAACTCACCTAATCAACTTCCAAATGAAGAAGATCTAGTTGGCAAAGTTCACTGCTCAACTGCCAAATACCCCACTAAATGTTATTATCCAGGTTCATTTTGCACAATAAATTTAATTTCTTGTAGAGAAACTTGAAATTTATAAAAGAACCCTGGAGAATTTGAATTTTAACAATCAATTATTCTTCAGGCTGATTCATCTTATAAACATATGGAAGATGCAAAAAATTAAATTAATTTAAAAATCCAGGCCTTTAACACATAGTTGAAGAAAACTTTTACATAAACGAAGAAAAATTGCCAAATGTTCTAATGACACAATATAATATTTTAGCTCTATGGTGTATAATGATTTTGTATTTTGGAAAAGAAAATAATTCCTTTCTCTAATATCATTCTTTACTTAATAAAAGAATAGTTTAAGAAAAGATAGTTTATCTTAATAAAAGATAGTTTAAGAAAACTATCCTCTTTTATTTACTCATAATTAAGGCTCATGATTTTTAAAATCGTTTATGTACAAATTTTTCCTAAAATGCTGAAATAATCCTAAGCTATGCACTTCTGTACTGCACACAGAAAGGGTCATGCCACCAGCAACCTTTGCACTGTCAATGGAGGAATGGCAGCTTCAGAAACAAGATGGTCCGTGACAACCTCTCCTGGAGCCACAGGCCAGGCTGCAGCCTCTGATTTCAGTTTAGTAAAAGCTCCAATGGCTCATCAACTACTGGTCTGCAAATAAAGGCTCCAGCAAGCAGAAAGTTATATAGTCACTTAGCAATGGGCTCAGACTCTTCCAAACCCAAGGGTACCATTTCATTAACTATTAAAGAGAGAAGATACTAGTAGAGAAACTATTACTTTCATCATATGTCTTTAACTGATATGAACGCAAACATTCAACAGCATTTCCCACACTGCTGTGAACATCTGTTCACATCTGCATCCTTCACAGTGGCTTCTGTGCTTACCTGTGCTTACCTGTCTACTTGAATTCTTGCCCTACATCAAAAATTAGACACAAATTTTTCCTTAACTATCTCAAGTACCACTGAAAATCATCTCACATACCACATGATGTTCCTGCCTTGCAGAAACAAGCCCCAGGATCCAGGCAGGTCAAAGGCTCTGTCTGTGCGCTTGAGCATTTCACCCAGCAGAGGTGCTAGGCCCATGCCTCGGCCACCACATCATTTCCATTTCCAGAGCCCTGCCTTCTTAAATGAGGAGTGCTCAAAGGACCACTGCCTCTACAGCAGGCTCAGGGTTGACCCATGAGCTTCCTGTGACTGAGGCTGAGTCACTGGCCACCTTGGCTACAGGAATGGTGCTGGCCAGAATGAACACATATGTCCCTTCGAGTCCTGCACACGCCAGCATACAGGACAGGCCCAACGGGTTCTTGCAGTCACTACTTGTTAGGTTCAGCTCACAGCTTCTGCTTTCCTCATCAACACTGTCTAGGGCAGACAGCTCCAGCAGAACTGGACACGCTTTGTTTCCAATATCATGACGGAAAAGTAGATCTTGTTCTAGAAGAATCAAGAACACTTCCTGACTGGATCTGCTAACCTAGAAGAGGGGGAAAAGGCAAAGGTGAAATAGTAGCAGAAGACTAGACTCCCAAGCAGGCCCTCCATCTTTGCCCCAGCTGAGCACTCAATGCTCGGTCTCCTGCACTTTCCCTCCTCCTCCCCAGGGCCCCTCGGATTAGCTGATGCTACCATTCCACCCTCTCAGTCCAAAGCCCCTTCCTCCCTGAACTCCAATTGGGCCAGGTCCTGGTCTACACCAAAACGAGCCCTGCACTCTCCCTCCATGGCTCTTCCCATGTTTCTGCATGGATATACTGACACTGTACACATATATACACATCTTGACCCACATGACTCATAACTACCACCTGTCTCCCCCACCACAGAGGGTGAACTCAGAGAGCAGGTACCAAGTCTGTCCTCCAGCATAACCTATAGACCAGCAGTATTGGGCATGACTTTTTTGTTCTATTAGGAACTGTTGAATAAATGGATGATTTAGTGCATTCTCTCCTCTGCAAACATGGAGCTGGAAAACATGGCACCCTCCTTCTGCTGCTTGGTGAATCCTAGAATACACCCTAGACATGAATGACATCTGGTGCAAAAGAACACCACAGGGAAGGGGTTCAAGAAGACACTGGTGTGGAAAAGAAAGACTCCGTAAACAACAGAAGATGAGGGCAGAGGAGCGTCTGTTCTTTGCCATCAGCATTGAGTGAACAAGTACTGGGACTCAGAGGGATTCGAAAAAGGTAGAGAGTCATTTTTAGAGAAATGAAAGCACACAAAATTGCCATTTACAGAGGAAAGTAATAAAACACACAACCCATCACCATGATGGGAAAGCAGGAAAATAATATCAGGTCACAGAAGTACGCAGACAGAGTCGCAGATGATCAGTCAACAGCAGGTTATAAGAGGGCAAGCCTGAGAGACTGCTGGCCACAGAAGGGAGGTGACACCAGTGCTTCTGACCATCGACGAAGGAAAACAAGTGTTTGAAGAAGATCATTCTGACAGCGCTATGCTGAGTGAATTGGAGGTAACGAAAGACTGAAGGTGGAAAGGTCAGGAAGACAGCTATTGCAACAACCAGGTGGGAGGAATGAGGCCCGGGCTGGCTGCCAGCAGGAGAAAGGTGATAGCCCACAATATTACCCACACACGGGTGACAGGACTTGGGGGTGGTGAGAAGTGAACGTCCACAACTCTGCGGTGTCACACTCTGATTAAGGGTCTGGCATGTGTTTGGAGCTGAGAACCGGAGAGAAACACAGAAGCAGAGAGAAACCCGCCCTGCATGTGAATTCTCCCTTGGGTGGGGTGGCAGATGAGACCGTGGAGGGAGCCCTGGTACCATGAGAAAAAGAAGACCAAAGACAATCCCATGAAGAAAACCAATCCTTAGGGATGGGCAGAGGACCAAGGGATGGTAATGGAGACAGGAGCAATGCAAGTTAGGAAGAATGGGAGGGGCAAGGCGGGGGCACCCAGGAGCCAAGAGGAGATGCTATGACACTGGTGCCGGTTCTGGCTGTTAAGAGGAATGCTGTGTCCCGCCTGTGCTGGACAGCACACCTATGAAGTCACCCTCCACAAGTGACTTGGCCTGTCTAAGAGTCACTGTCTTCATCTGTAAAAGTGGATCATAAGGGGGCTGAAGCTGGGGCTCAGTGGTAGGGCACTTGCCTAGCATGTGTGAGGCACTGGGTTCTATCCTCAGCACCACATACATACAAATAAATAAAATAATGGTCTACCAACAATT